ACGACACACACACACACACACACACACACACACACACACACACACACACACACACACACATATATATATGTAGTTACATTTATTATATATTTAAATATCTACGTGCGTGCAAGCAAACTCTATCGCACTTGGACCCCATTTTGATCACAGGCTGTCACCGAGCTTCTAAAAGCTGAGTCCCATGCCGATTGATTTCAAGCAATTGTATCAGCTTGCGCTAACTATAATACATATTTTTTCTCCAAATTGGCTGTACCAGTGTGTCTGGAGCCTGCTTTTGAAACATCCGGGTCTATCACTGAGGTGCGACTGATATCAGTGCTCAGTGGGATTTGGCGGGCTACCTACATCTTTAACCACCAGAGTGACATACTGCAACAGCTGGCCAGCGAAGTCGAGGCCAATTGCGGCCCTAAAAAACAAAACAGGGCCAAACGCAGCAATACCATAGTCGCCTCGGACCATCCGCCCCCTATTTTGACCTCGGCTACGGCCCCAAACGTTTGCGCGCAACCGGACGGGAAAACCAGCCCTAAAAGCGACACCACAAACCACACCTCCGTACACTTCCCACACAAAACACACAAACGCGTCAACGAGCATTCACCCACCCACACTCCCAAAGCCACGCGCACAGGCAGAAGCCCAAGCCCAGAGATGAAGCGCAGACCCAACGCTCTAAATCATCAGGCGTCGACCGCGTCTCAACGATCGTTATTTACGAGCCTAGATTGGCTCACATCGGCCAATCAGAATGTCGGAAAGGCAACCGTCAACGCAGCTGCAACCGCACAGTCAAGTAACACGGCAAGTCCTACGCTGAGCAAGCCAGCCATGGTGGAGGTCAATGTGATCGCCAGCAATCTTATAGTGGATGCAGGCCCTGTCGAAACGTATGTATATACCTATATGTACATGTAGTTACTAGTTTTATGTAGGTAAAGATATATGTGAGAGTGGATAGTGATGTACACATGTTGTCACTGATGTATAGCCGTATACTGATATATGTACACATACCTTGGTGTATAGTTGGTTTGCAGATGAATGTATGTACATCCTACGTACATAGGCGTATGCCTATATATATATATACATGCACAAACACACACACACACACACAC